CCACATTTTCGATCACTTTCGACAATACGGGTAGAATAGACACTGGTCTTAGGTCTTTCATTTCTTCAACCGAGTTCTTTTTAGGAATGGGTTTAACTAAGGCTCTTTTCCAACATGTTGGAAAGGTATTCGTCTCAATGGATTTATTCACTATAATTGTTATTATTGGGAGTGTCGCGTCCAGGGTTAGTTGGATCATGTCTATATTCAACCCGTCATGCCCTTCTGATTTTGTTTTTATCGCAGAAACAATCTTGTATACCTCTTTGATTGTCGTAGGTTTGAACTCAAAGTATTTTGCACGTTTAAGATTGTCTCTACTTAGCGTAATATTTTCTAAATTTACGTCGCCACAGGCCGGGATATTTAAAAAATGATCATTAATTTTTTCAGGGTCATTAATATTATGTGGAATGCTAGGTTTCTTAGAAGTTTCAAAGCTCGAAATTTTTCTAATGTTTTTCCAAAGCTCATTTGGCTTGTTAATATTATTATTAATGAAATTATTGAAATACGCCTTCTTTTCTCTCCTAATGGATGCTGTCACATAATTTTTTAAACTACAATAGTAATCTTCAGAGCTTTGTGTTTTCTTTTTTTGCGCGTTAGATAGAGCGTCATCACGTAAGCTCATCATTAATTTTATTGTATCTGTGATCCATGGTTTCGGTTTGTCTCTTGCAATTCTCTTCCTTATTGGTGCATGAATATCGAACAGACACAACATGTACTTATTAAAAGTTTCTATCATTTGATCAACATTTTCCAAATCACCTATTGATTGCCATGGAATAGAATGAAGATCTATATGAAAGAGATCCATATTAATGTCCCGTAGAGATCGTTGGTACTTTATTTGTTTACACATTCTTGGTTTTTTAATATTGAAATCAATCAACACCATACCATGATCACTTAAACAACGATTATGTATTACTTTTACATCTTTACAGCGAGACGCACTGTCAGTTAGGACAACGTCGATCAAAGTTTCAGTAGAGTCTGTAACTCGAGTCGGTTCTTTGACTAGCTGGTCCAAGTTATGTTGATGGCAGAATGCAATCAGCTCTGCTGCTTTTATTGATTCTGTTTGAGTCAGGTCCACATTCAAATCACCCACAAGACACGTATAACTACAGCGCGCCATAGAATTTATTGACTCGCTGAGTGCGTCCAGGGCATCCCGTATGTTAATGCTCTCGGGCCTGTATACAGTGCCAAGCGCCAGAGTGGCTCCCGGTAGTTGGACTTCAAGCCATAGTTGTTCTAGTGATGAGGGTGGATGTCTTTTTGTACGTGTAACTATTCCCTGTCTCACGTAAAAACCCACACCACCACCTCGTCTTCCTACTCTTGCTCTATGTAAAAAACTGTATCCAGGTAACGCCGGAGCAATTGACTCTTCCCCCGCTCCCAGCCAAGTCTCGTTAATAGCAAGGATGTCAGGCCTATGATTCAGTACAGTCACCAATAATTCATCCTGTCCGGTATTAAGAGATCGTGCATTTAATAGCCCTATTCGTAAACAATTACTTTTTTTGCAGTTACCCATTGATGCAATTAGTAAATGTATATATGCGTGTGTGCATGTGTATATTGTGAATGTGCGTGAGAGGTGTGAAGTTTTGTAGAGCAACCAATAATACTAATACTAACATACTACACATAATAACCAACGCTACGATCGACCAAAAACCATTTCGAGGTCACATTCCGAGCGCAATTGTTTTCGTGGTTTCCCATCATCTTCTCGTACAAAAATTTTGCCACCACGCGTCCACACATATTTAACGTTTGTGTCGCGGGCGAGGTTCCGAGCCTTTTGGAATAAAAGACGATTGCGCTTTGTAAGTCGTTCATTAATGTATAAGGAGCTCACCGGCCCCGACAGTGGTAATCCTTCGGTGTCCATATGGCGACGGATACGCGCGGCCCGCAGCAACTCGTCCCGCGGCGCACGGCGCGTGAATCGCACGGCCAACGGGCGCGGTCGGCTCGGCGCGTTGCCTCCGCCTTCAGGTCGCACGGGCCCCGCTCTCCAAGCGCTCACTATATCCTTCTCGTCGATGTTAACACATATCTTCTTAGCTATTTCAAGGACAAGGTGCGAAGGGTTTTCGTTCGCGGTTTCGGGACAGCCCGCTAGCTCAACGTCGTTATACAACAAAGCCTGTTCTCGGTCCGCAATATCGGCTTGCAGCTGGATTATATTATCTTTCAAACTTTTGTCATAGCAGTTTTGCTGTGTATCCCTTATATTATTTTCGAGCTCGCAGACTTTAGCTTCCAACTGTTCAATGCGTGCGTTTTGCGCCTTGATAGAGCTAGTTATTCCCACAATAGCATCGCGCAAACTCTCTGTTTGTTCACGTATTAAACTCGCCATATATAACTTTAAGTCTGCTATCATAGCATTATCCGGATCACAGTTCGACGCAGATGGCTCTGGTTTTGGTGACCTGTCTGGAGATGGACTTCCCAAGTAAGGGCTGCCTGACTCACTATTGAATGAATTGGTCTGCTTACTCTTCATACGCAGGGTGACGTTACAGTCCTTTTTTTTCTCGCCCAGCAATTCACTAATGGAAGTTGTTCCGGACTCTGTGTAGTCGAACGATGTAGGCCCATGTGGGGTACGTATTGGGGTATTAAGATTTCCACCCTTAGGTCTTTTGCTTAAACATTCTGGGCAATTCCAATGATCCTTACTGTCCTTCATTTGTGCCAGGGTTTTGGATGTAATGCCCACACATACTGTATCATACGATGCTAGACAGGTTGTGCAACGTAAATATTGTCTACTTGATATTGGTTTCTTACAACCTGCACAGATGCTACGGGTGCTCATCTTTATGACAATGTAAGGCAAATAATAGGTGTGGATAAATTATAAAGTAAGAATTAGTTTCGCTATTCGTCACTAGATGGCGGTGACTGGTAATATATGCTTTTAGCTCTCCCTGGTGTCTGAGTAGCGCAACACAATAATTAGTACCGGTACACGATAGTAGATCGCGTTATTAGTACCGATACTTGATAGTAGATGGCGTTGTTTCGAATTTCTTTAAACGGGAACGGTTGGAATTTGTAGTCTTTTTAGGTTATTTTAGTATCATTTAATTCTTACCGCATATCAAGCAGCCTCTATTTAATGGTATTGTTACCCGTAGTTAGCAGGAGCAACGGCAGGTTCTTCAAACGTGAAAATATTTAGTGAATTCAAACAGCAATCCCGATTAAGGTGTTCACTAATTGATCGCACTTTTAACTCTGTTTCACTGTATCTTTTTCGATGCCTTCACTTCCACAACCAAGTTGCAACACTATCGACGTTTTAATTTAAAAAATATTAACTTTTGAAAAGATTTGATAATTAAAAATGAACTAATTAACTCCAGCTGATGTTTGTTTACGCACTGCAGCGCCCTCTCTCCCAAAACAAAATAAAACAAAATAAAAAAGAAACAAAATAAAACTATGCGACTGATGATATGCTATGAAGTCGCATCCAGTGAGCGAACATCGGAGAGTCCCAGCGTGCAGACAACGCGCTCAGGATGCGGTTGGGGCTGCCGCGCATGCGACTTAGCATCGAGGCACACCTTTTGCGCATAATGGCTGCAAACCCGTCTGTATGCGACTCCGCAAACATCCCCGAGGCGCTATAATAGCGCGGCAGCCCCAGCAACACCCGGAACGCGTTGTTGTATTGCACGCGCAGGCCGTTGTATGTCCTCTGCGTATAGTTGACCCACAGACTGCACGTGTAAAAGGACTGACAATAAGATTTAAACAGTGTAATCTTTACTTGTCTCGTACAGCGTGCAAACCTGCGGGCCAACATGTTACAACGAACAGCCAACGACCTACGCTCCCTCTCGATGTCGCTATTGTCAGATAGGTCATCCGTGACCCAGTGACCCAAGTACTTAAATTTCGAAAGTATTTTTAAAGGAGCGCCGCAACGTGTTAGATTAGGTATAATATTGTAACACTTAGTACCTGCCTTAAATGCCATCAGCTCGCTCTTCGAAACATTGTACCTGAGTCCATGGGTGACAGCGTATGACTCACAAATTTGCAACATAGACATAAGTGCTCTAATCGATGGACTGAGCAGCACCATATCGTCAGCGTAACTTATCTGGTCCGTCCCAAAAGTATCGAACATTTTTCAGGAAAAATACTTTTATTGAACTTATCGGTACCATACATTAGTACTCTTCAAAATAACACCCTTCAGCATCGATGCACTTTTGTAGGCGAGTTTTCCATGCCCGGAAGGCCCCCTGGAAGACGTCAACGGGTAGGTCCTTCAGCGCCCTCGTCGTAGCTTCTTGGATGTCCTTAATTGTGCCCCAATGCTTGCCTTTGAGCTTCGACTTGATGCTGGGAAACAAGAAGAAGTCTGCCGGGGCGACGTCAGGACTGTAGGGAGGCTGCGGGACCAGCGGGCTTCGTCGGTCACCTCTTCCCTTCCGTCACGGAACATCTTGTGCCACTTCCTGACCGAGGATTCGGACAAGGCTTTGTCCTTGAAGGCCTGTTTAATCATCTCGTTGGTTTCCACAGTATTTTTGCCGAGTAGAACACAAAATTTCACTGCGTACCTCTGTTCTAACGGATCCGTCATCGCGCTACTTTTAAAAACTTCGACGAGGTGTCGTTTAGAGCTCTACGCGAACGCACGTCCTGCCGCTCCAGGTGCTCGGAGCCAACTGGGACCGGTCGCGCTGTATCGGCTAGATCCCCCACCACTTTCTGTTGCCAAGCGGAGCGCTTCCCGCCGTTCGGCAACATTCCCAAAAAAAATGTTCGATACTTTTGGGACGGACCTGTATATTATTAACACAGACTCCGTCAATATGACATCCGACCATAGTGCTGCTCAGCTCGTCAGTGAGTCCATTCATATATAGATTGACAAGCGTGGGCGAGCTCAGCCCCCGCTCCTGCCTCAGCCCACATTCCAATCCATAACAGTCCGAAGTAGCACTTCCTCATCTGATATAGTTGCTTTGGTTATTGTACCAATACCTGAACAAGTCCGTTATTTCACGCGGCAAAGTGGTGTCATTATATAGTTTACCCCATAATACATTATATGAAACCAGATCAAAGGCCCTGGAGAGGTCTAGGAAGCACGCGTAAACTGGGGTCTTTCTAGCAGTGTAGTACTGGACAGTATGCTTGAGACACAAGATAGCACTGTCAGTCGACAGACCTGGTCTAAACCCAAATTGTGCATCGTTCAGGCTCAGGTGCCTACCCAGGTGGTCGTCAAGCAAACTGTCCAGAACTTTTGCAATCACGGTTGCCAAAGAAATTGGCCTATAATTAGACAGATCCGATGAGTCACCCGTCTTGTTCTTTGCGATTGGCACCACTACCGTTCGCATGAGATCGTTAGGCAAGTAACTATGATTGAGACATGGTGTAAAAAACATAGCAAGCACTCGAGGCAAATGGCAACCTGCATGTTGCAGGTGCTCAATGCTAAGGCCGTCATGACCCGGCGATTTACCCCTTACCATTTTCTTAATGACTAATGCCACTTCTTTTGAAGAGAATGAGACTGAATGCGCATGGGAGACGGCCTCAGCCCCAAACACCTGCGACATGGAGTGTAACGGAGACTCTACTCGGAAATGACTTTGAAATAAATTGGCAATTGCTTTGGGGTCGTGCAAACCCGCCACACTCACGGGTAAACTAGTCTTGTGATTCAATTTATTGGTGGTTTTCCAAAATTTAGCAAAGTTTTTATTTGAGTGGTGTTCTGCAATTACATTCATTTTTATTTGCTCTTCATTGTTTTGACACCATTTTAACCTACTTTAAAAAACTGTCTAGATTCAGACATTGCAACAAAAACAGGACCTGTAGAAGGTCTGCCATGTAACACCCAGTTCTGGAAGCAAAGCCTAGCCCTCCCGTGAGCGTCTCGGACGTGCTTGTTCCATCCTGTTATATACCCACCCCGTCTGCAGACCCTCACATTACAACTACTCTCGGATGCCTCGGTTAATATGTCAACAATATTTTTATATAAATCTTTTAACAATGTCAAATGTGTGCTATCAGTACACTTTTTATTACAACAATTCAGTAATTGTTTCATTAATAATTCAGTAATTCAGTCGGAATATTAATGTCGCGTAAACTATTCTTACAGATTTGGTGATATTTTTCAATTTGAACAGAATTACGTTCACCCCATATTATCCTATTATTACAAGGTGGTGGTGTAACAATTAAGGGTCTTACAAGATTTAAATTGCACTCTATACGGAGAGGGTAGTGATCCGACCAATAGGTATCATATAGCACTGACGCACCTATCACTGTTTGTTGCGCTGCACTGGTCACAACACAGTGATCTAGCCACCTGCGGCACCCGTGCGCCTCACTCGCGAATGTGTACGTATCGCGCGATAATAAATCGTAGTCAACACAACACCACGACTGTTCCTTACAAAAATTAAAAAGTTCAGTAGCAAACAGTTCACCAGGAAGTGCATTGTAATCGCCCAAAATAAACACTGATTCAACACTATAAGTCGCGATAATTGCACTTATTTCACTGAGGCATTGAATGAAATCCATTAAATTATCATTAGAGTCAGTCGGCATATACTCAGTAAATATTAAAGAATAACGATTATTATTAGACAGTACCTTAGCGAGACGAACACTGTTGCATTTAATTACCGATACGGTTTGGAAACGGTCCTTTCTCCACAGCAGGGCCACTCCGCCGTACGGCCGTCCTCGCAGCAGAAATGTCGACGGCAGAAGTAGCAGTTGCAGCAAAACGGTTATCTATGCTTTCTAAGTACGACAACTCGTACGGTAACAACCAGGTTTCCTGCAGCGCAATCACGTCTGCCTCTCGACACAGTCTCCGTACACACTCAACCGACCTCTTGACGTTTTTACAATTAAAAGAAATAAGTTGCGTTGTATTATTCATTTTGAGTATTTAGTAACTTCATTTCATTCTTTCCCACGAACGACCGTTCCCGACTTCTGTGGAAATTGAAAGAAACGTCGGTAGGCAATTCCCTCAGGCCAAAAATCGCACTGCAAAAATACTTGTATTTTTTGTTTTGGTACAAATATTTTAAACGCATTGTAATTTTTATCAATTTTCATACTCATTTGTTGCACATTTACACTTATATTCTAATATTAGATTTCTTTTTAACATAACTCAAGATATCACTTGTTGATACTTCTTTAGAAACATTGTATATGTAAATAGGTGTTGTACTGTCCGCGGCCTTAAACTTTTCCTCGGCATCTGGGATGGCCTTTCCTCTCTGGCCTACGAAACGGTTACCTAATTTTTTTCTTTGTACCAAAGTCCATGCATCATCTTGTTTTTGCGGTTTCCATTCGCCTTGCACGATTTCAGCTAACGATTTTTGTTTAGGACTTTTTATCACGGCAGCGGACTGAGAAGGCGCTGGCGCAGCGCTCGGCATAACCGTCATCTGTTCAGCGGACCCAGTGGGTTGAGTCATCGCCGCTCTCGCGCGCAGGCTCTCCTCGCCGCACAGTATTTATTTTCTCAACGGTCTCACAGATTTTGTTACTTTGTAAGCTAATTGATTCCGCGTTCAATGAACTATTTATTAATTTTGATTGAATGATTTCTCTATAATCATTATCGTTAAGCAAAGTTGACACTAGGGAATCGTCTTCGTGTGCAACTAAGTCCTTGTTACACATAGGTGACAGCCCCATAGGTCCACTTCGGCAGTCCACTTCGAAAGATCTGGAGAAAGCCCCACGATTTTTATTCACATTACGGTCATATTCGATTTCATTCTTGACAGGTAAACTCTTTAAACACTCCGACTTCAACAAATCTAACTGCCCTGTTGTGGCATATTTCTGCTTGATGTCCTTAACATCCTGCTGTAATTTTACAATGTCCTTTAGGAGCCGTGTCACATCCACGTGATCAAACAGAACTGGAGGTAATTTGTGAAGATCTCGTGCGTCAAATATTGGTATTTCGTTTGGGTGAGCCTCCTTTAAAACACAAATAATAACAACTTTCCGCTTCTCTTCCGGATTTTCTTAAGTACAGTTGTTGAAATCGAGTCAAACAACAGGTCCTTAGTCGCAACAATATCACACTCCGAAAACGCACTAATGCAGATACGACTGATGCTCTCCTCGTCCATCACATCAATTCTATTATTCACAAATGCAAGTAATTCGTTAATCACAATGTTACATTTCGAACATTTTACCACTTTTGAGGGCATTTTGACTCCCAACGATTGCAAATTATGTACGCGCACGATAAGACAAACGAACGCTAGGACGGATGCGACGCAACTGAAAAAAAATTAAAAAATAAGCTTGAGAATTTCTTCAACTCTATTCCACATCCAGCAATTATAGCAGGTGATTTTAATGCATTGCACACAACTTGCGGTTGCGATCTGTGTAATTCTCGTGGCAATGATCTTCTTGGCTGCATTCAGGATAGTAACTTTGTTTTATTAAATGATGGTCAGTATACTACTGTTGGTTCTCATGTATGGCGTCGTAATGCTCTCGATTTAACTACTGTTTCTCCCAGTCTAGCATTGCAAAGCGAATGGAGACCAAATCATGTTGACGAAATTGTAATTTGTAATTAGAATAAACGAAAAGTGGACTGTAATTTTAGCTGGTCGGACAAAACGTAAATAGCAATATTTTTGATCTCGGATGACCATATAAAACCCACCTACCTTTTATCTCTTTGTATTCGGCTCCTCCGGTATGATATGGTAGATGACGTCACCGCGATTCCTTGCCTACTTTTTGGAGCTCCAAAGGTTCACCGTCACAATCAGTCACCAGTAGACACCAACACGACACCAAGCAGTCAATACTAAAAATGATCGATGAATGAGAGGGAATGCACATAAAATATCACTCTGTCAAGCCCGAAGTCGAGAGAGTTCTGGCAGGCCGCCTTCCGAACCAATATAAGAAAAAATGCAGGTGAGATTATATTGCGATCCAGCGACTTGTTATAAAACTACTTACATATTGTCCGAGCGCAGATTATTGAAAAAGTTATATTTTAAGGATGTTTACACATTTACGAACAGTGTTCATGATGGTCCTTTAGGTAGTTTCCATTTACCTGTAATAACCAAGATTGACATTAGCTTTAACGGCCAAGAAATAATATCAAATACATCCTTTCATCATAACCACTATCGCAAGGCGGATTGGGAAAAGTATGCACAAAACGCTGACCTATTTCTCAACAATTTTGAGTACAACAGTCACAATCTTTTAGGAACATATGTAAATCTTACATAATGTTTGCTATTAGCTGTAGAAAAATCAATACCTTGTGACTTTTTACGCAATTCTCTCACACAATCCCATAAACATCGTAAATTTAGGATACCTCTGCCTTGGTGGAATCTGAAATGCTCTAATGCAGTAGAAAACTCCAAAAAAGCTTACATTCAGTATAAAAATGATCCAACTGGAACCAATTATATAGAATTTAAAAAGCAACAGGCTCATAAAAAGTTAATCTTAAACCAAGAAAGACAAACAAGTTGGATGAGCTTGTGTGAAAGCTTTAATAGAACCACTTCCCTTTCAACCATATGGCATATGATGAAAAGGTTTAATAAAAGTAGTGTACTACAATCTAGCCACATTAGTAATTGGATTCCAGAATTTTCAAAGAAATACACATCTGATACAGTTGAAATCCCTTTGCAATGTGATAAGACATCTGTTACAACAAATGACTCTGATTATCTTACAAAGCCCTTTTCTTCTGAAGAACTTGAGTCAGCCGTATCTTCCAGACGAGACAGCCCTCGGTATTGATGGTATCTCATACAAAGTTCTAAAAAATTTGTCAATTAGTCCAAAACTTACTGTTTTAAAAGTGTATATAATAATATGTAATAAATAAATATAACAAATGTATGTAAGTGTATGTAATTTACTATGGTCAAATAATGTAATTCCGTCTGAATGGAAAGTAGACTGTTTAGTACCAATTTTAAAACCCAGTAAAGAAAAATCTCAAGTGGACTCCTACAGACCTATTGCACTAACCTCTTGTATGGGAAAAGTGTTCGAGCAACTCATTAAACAGAGACTTGATTTTTTTCTAGAAAAGAACAATATCTTACCTGCCAATCAATTTGGCTATCATTTATACAAGATAATAAGAGGACGTTAATAACTACCTACTTACTTTATGATTCTATACATATTTACAAGGCTTTCTTTATAGCTGTCTTTATAGTGAGGTCTAGTATATTTACCTGGCTATCATTTATACAAGAGAATAAGGAGACATTAAAAGCTACCGACTTACTTTGTAGCTATTCTATACATATTTACAATTTAGACTTGGCCTTAACCTATATATGCTTACATATCAGTTAAATGAAAAATTAATAAATTACATAAGTCATGTCGAGCTAATAACAATTATAATTAAAAAGTACTAAACTAATCACAACAACCAACATAAACGTATAGAATACAAAAAGAAAACTCTAAAGACGGAATGGACAGCAACATTGGAACTGCAAAGACTCTAGATCTAAAAGAATTGCTATTCAAAGCCGAA